CCCTTTTTTTTGGTAAATTAAAAAAAAATAAAAAATGAAATCCTTCTTCAAGATTGGGACCAACACAAATAAGATATTATATGTATTATTTTTCTAAAAATATAAAAAAAATTAATTGACATTGTTCATTTGATTATTTACAATTTGCCTCGTGCACATGACACTTGTCAAATATTAGAACCTTTATCTGGTCAAGACTAAAAACTCTATGAGAAATATATGACACACCGTACCTCAAAAGTAGTCGTTATATTCAAATATAGGACCTTATCGTGTGGATATGATAGTTTAGGGACCTAATTGATTAGTAGCTAATATTTTAGGGATTAAAGTGTAAATATTTGAATCCCAAAGTGATAAAGCCTCTCATATTCTGTTATAAAATTAAATAGACAAATTCTGTTGGATATTATTACGATCCTTTAAGTATTCAGTTTTATCACAAATTTGAATATTATTATGATCCTTTAAATATTCAACTTTATCATAAATTCCGTTGAATATTATTATCTTAAAGTATTTGAATTTATCTGAATAAGTCAAGGGCTTATGTAATGCATAATCAGATTACTATACATCAGGGACGGATCCAGGATTGAATCCTAGACTGAGCTACAAAATTTCAAATCGGGCTACTGCGCGGGGAAAAAAAAATTTATACATATAAAACTGATTTTTTACCCAAAAAAATAAAAAGTACCTTAAAAAAAATGCTCTTGGACCTGAGGGATGGGCCCCCCGCCCCCACACAAATCCATCTCTGCTATACATAGGTGTATGATTTTCAAGAAATTTACACTCCAGCTCTTTATCCCTCTCCCTCTTTCTTAACTTGTCCAGTTGTCCTTCACACACAGATATATTTAACTACCAAAAAAAAAAAAATGTACAAATTTTTAGCACTTATATGTATGTTCTAATAGCACTACGCACGTAAAACTCATACCACCTAAGTTCTATATAATTTTCGTGTCTCCTTTATGCAAGTTTTACAATTTTACAGGTTATATGACTAGTAATTCATGAACATGTATATGCTTATTGACAATTATCACCATTAAGTTTTTCCCTTTTTTGGGTAATTAGGAATCGAGGTGTTTAGAGTTAGACTTGGCTGTGGTGAAGGAAATAAGTTCGAGAGTTTTCTTTAAGCTTTCCTTTCAAATTAAAATTTTTAATAAGTACATTTGAATAAGTTGTTATTGAAAACAAGTAATTATTTTACGACTGTTACAATCTTAATTCATGGAATGAGTTTCAATTAAGTGTTTTTTTTTTTATATGTTCTCTTTGTTATTTATTTAAATTTTTGATATGTTTGCGTTACGATATATTTACTATTTACTACCATTCTCACAATTTGTTGGTTGAAGCACTGAAGATTTTAATGAAATCATCAATTTTCAACAATCTACTGCAATTTATTTGGAATAATACATAACTTAATGTAGAATAATATATTTTAAAC